ACCGCGAGGTCCCGCAGTCCGTGTACTCTGGGGCAGCCCCGTTCGTAACTGCGGATCCGACATAAGTCGGATCCGCGTAAGTCGGGGACTGCCTGTATATTAAAAATCTTTCCATAATTACTTTTATTTTTTCTATTTGGCAAATCTGGAGCTAGTTTCTGTATCCCTTAGTGATGTGAGTAATCTATAATTATGCAAGTATCTCCTTTCACCTGGATAAGTCTACATCTTCACTTAGACAGATGCACTCAAAAAAAATATATATATAAGTCTGTTTGTCCATTTGTTCAAGAATGCCTCTTAAACTGTAAGAGCTAGGATGTCCAAATTTGGTGCAGCTTTCTCTCACTCTAATTTAAACAAGGGTCAGGGTTTGGTTGAGTCTGGAAAATGGGCAGTGCTGGTAATGGGAGTATTTCCCATAATACGGAAAGGGAGAGGCAGAGAGAAGGAACACAAAAGAGAGGAGCACAGAGAGGCCAAGAGAATGGCCCCTGAGGGCCAAGAGAATGGCCAGCAGGGCTAGGGCTCTGCCATCTTGCCTGCCAGCACACCAGCAAGGAGCCCTTCTGCCCCACACCTGAAGTTTGCTACCCCACATTGTGAAGAGCCAGCAGCCAGTGAGGGGGCCTTCTGGAGGAGGGGCAGCCCCTAGAGCCTGACCCCTTCCCAGACAGGCTGTGGGGGGAGGGAGAAACCGCTAGAGGCCCCGTGCAGCCCTTGACAGCATGCAGGCTGTGGGGCCACTGCAGGAGGGATAGCCACCCAGAGCCTCACCTCACCCCAACAGGCTGCAGGGTGGGTCACTGCAGGAGGGGGAAGCCCCTGGAGCCTCCCCCCTAACAGGCTGCAGAGGGAGGGAGCCTGCTGGCCAGGGGAGTGCTGCTCCACCTCCTGGGAGGAGTTGCTGCTGGGATAGCATTACCCTCACCGACACAGCCCCACTAAGACCCCTCACAGCCCCCTGTCCTGAGTCTCCTGCCCTGAATGTACACCTCACACTTGCCCTGAGGCCCCTCCCCACCCCTCCCAACTCTCTGCCCTAAGCCACCTGCCTCTCCTCACCCCCAGACTTTTACTCCAGTCTTCTTTTTTTTTAAATAACATGTATATTTTTCATTTATTTTACTTACACTCTCTCTCTCTCTCTCTGTCTCTGTCTCTGTCTCTCTCTCTCTCTCTCTCTCTCTCAGCAATGCCAGGTACATCTGCTAGTATATAAATAAATATTGCTTATATGAATAAAGATTGTTTGTGGCTATGTTTGGATACACAGAAAGAGAAAAGCCAGCCTGGCAACTTCAGTTTATATATGACTATGATGTCAGTAGAAATGTTCGTGCCTTTTGTAAAAGTTTTTGTGAATGTTTGCTCATGAGTAAGTAGTAGGAGTTCATGCAATGTAGTCTCTACTGGACTGTTGCACTTGTCCAAAGTTAATTGCAGGATCATGGCATTAATTGTGTTAAAATAGAGCTGATTTATTTTTAATTCAATGAAAGATAGTTTTAAAGAAAAATAGATATTTAATTTTATATCCCTCTAGATTATAAACACTGTACAGATTTTTTGTTTTAAACAGGTTTTGGTGTTGTTTAGTTTTGGGGTACTCTTTGAATAAAATAACTAAACACAAGTGTTATGTCTGACATGAAAGTTAGGACAGTGATCACAAGCAAAAAAAAAAAATCCAGTGTTGAAGCTAACCTACTATTCCAGGTTCCTCTTGTGGGATAGATGTTCTTTTTTGTGATGTGTGAACTCTTGATCCTGCAAACCCCTGTGCATGTTTGTGTGCCAGTGGAACTCCTCATATTCTTAAAATCAGTTGTTGTTGTTAAGTGTCTGCAGGATCAGGGCCTAAGTTTGTGCTCTTATAAATCAAACACAGTCAGCATTTGGTGATTAAACCGTGTTCTGTTCCTGGCTGTCATAGACCTTTTCTGGAATGTTGATCAAGCCACTGAACTTCTCTTTGCTCTATCTGTAAAATACGAATAATAATGCTTATCTTCACGTTAATTATGTGAGGATTAATAGATTAAAGCATTCTATTGCTGATTTAACACAAAGTATCTTTTGCTTTTGGGTATTTGAAAGGAAACTTAAAGTTTAGAAACCCAAGGTCAGAGTGGGAATACCTTTTTTCAAAAGTTTCATCTTAACTTAGGCCAAGCATCAATCGTTATCTGTGGATATGGGTTTTAAAACTTGATTAACTAGCTGTTTTATTCTTTCAGGGAATCTATTAGTTGCATCTATGCCTTAATAGGGAAATAGCACCTTATAATCTTAATGACAGAGTAAATCTATATATTGATTAATCTTTTCTATTCTTTTTTCAGCTGAGCTCACTGCTGCTCACTTTGGAGGGGGTGGAGGTCTCCTTCGTAGGAAAGCACCAAGTGGGGAACAAGATAAAGAAGAGGAAAAACCTAAATCTCGCAAGGAGCTGATTGAAGAGCTGATTGCCAAATCCAAACGAGAGAAAGTGAGTATGTAGCCTTTGAATAATAATAATAATAATAAACAAAAATGGACAGACTACATTAAATTTCATATCATTATAGCAGAAAACATTCTGTAAAACCATTATCAGCTTTAAGACATGGAAACCACCATATCCCCTTTCTTCGTGAGAAGTGTGCTTTTTCACAGGAGAAGCAGTAAGTAAAGGGAGTATGCCTTTCTAAATATAGAGCCAAATGATCATATACCTGACCCTCTTGGGAAATGGTATAAAACAGTGGTGTCCAGTGGTTCTGAAGCAGTAGCCACTATAGTGAAAGTCACACTCAACTGGCCAAATAGCCACATTGTTCAAGCCAAGTAGCCACACTCAACCGACCGAATTGCCATGTGTCTAGTAGCTAGCATGTTGGACATGACAGGTATAGAGTGTCTGCTTTTTTGCAGGTTCCCAAACCCTTCACCTATGAACTCTGTAAGCATGGCTATTCTGCCCTTGTATCCCTCATTGCAGGCTTGTGCTACTGTTCACCTAGAGTGCTTAATATTGCAAAACAGGTTGGTTGTGCATTAATTTTTTTTACCATATGTTTAACTTTGTCTACATATGGACCTCATTTGCTCTTGATGCTGCAGGTGATCTTCCTTGGGCAGTTACACAAATTATTGGCCAATTGAACAATAATTATGATATATGCATATTTTAATTTTTCTAGAGAGAGAGACAAACTCAGAGAGAAAATGCCTTGGAACTCACAGAAAAACTTGACACTGATTGGAAAGAAATCCAAACCCTTCTCTCCCACAAAACCCCTAAGTCAGAGAGGAAAGATAAAGACGAGGATAAACCCAAGGTAAGGTTTTGTCAATATAGCTTTGTTTCGTTGCAGCCTTTACTGATTTGATTCCAGTTATGGAATCAAAGTACGTAGTTATTGACAGTTAAGGAGGAATTTGTTCACTAGTTATTTATATATGATCATTTCTAATTAAAATATTTAAAATGTCTAGTGTTTTAGTAAAATTGAAAGAATTCTACAGTCTCTGAAGGAGTTTCATCTCAGAATTATGAGGTTGGAAGGATTTTTAGTAGATACTAATTTTAGAGAAATAAAGGATTTGTATTAAGTATTTTAAGACTTGACCAAGAAGTTCATCATGATTATGGCTACGCTTTTTCATTAGCTGTTGAATTTGAGTGAGGTTGCTTGTTCTATAAAAATATGAATAATATTCTGGTTTATTTGTAAGACACAAACATTTTCTTGAAGAGATATCATCTGCTTGAAAAGGAAAATGCCTGAGTTGTAAATGCCTTTGAAATGTCTCTTGAACACACATTCTTCAAGGGCATGTCTACACTGGGGCATTATTTCAAAATAATTCCCCTTATTTGAAATAAAAAGGCAAGTGTCTACACTGCAAGACAGTATTTTGAAATAATGTCAAGCTGGAGGTTTTCTTACTCCGACTCCCGTAATCCTCATTTCGAAAGAAGAGTGTTCTTCCTTCGACTTCCTGCTGTATAGACAGCACCAAAAGCCAAATTAAACTATTTCCACTTTAACTACGCAATTGACGTAGCTGAAATTGCGAATCTTAAGTCACATTTTGCCCTGTTGTGTAGATGTCCCCTATTTTAGCAATAGATGTTTGTGGCAGTAACTTCACTTCTGCATCAATTGGCACATAAAATCTCTCTTCACACTTATTTAAAAAAGAGTGAAAATTCTAGTGATTTGGGCAGATTAATTGTGAAAGTGAATCTAGAAGTTCTAACAGGTAGACAAATATGCCATGAACAATTTATCAAGTTTTATCTTGGTTTTGAAATTGACATGAAACCTTTGTAGATTTCATTTGGAAGTTTGTTGGATACAGAGAAAATGAGAATCAGTGATGTTCTGTTGCGTTCATATGCAGTTTGGGAGAAAATTCATAATCTGGTTTAGTATAAAAGGAAAATTTTGTCAATTTAAATGTTTTAAACAAGTGGCATGGTTTAGTGCAGGGGTGGAAAACCTACAGCCTGGGGGCCAGATGTGGCCCTTGGCTTGCCTGGATCCGGACTTCGAGGCCCTGGTCTTTCTCCCTCTTCCCCCACCCCCAGCATTGGGGAGCCTGCATTGGTGCTGCAGCCCCCACCCCACCATGGGGCTGGAGCCCACAATCTACTAGCCTAGGTCCCTCAGACTCTGTACGCGAGGGGAGTGCGGGGGAGTGTCTTTCTCCTTCTCAGTCGGGGCCACGTCAGGGAGGGCTTGTTTTTGTTGTTGGGGTTTTTTGCTTCTCACTTGTGTATGGCCCCCGACTGATTTTTTCTGTGGGTCAGTGTCCCCCAACCCAAAAATCGTTCTCTACCCATACCCTTTTCATCTCTACCCCTAATTTGCATTGTGGCTCTGGGCACACTGTACCTCATTTTATCTGTCAAATGAGGATATTGTCTTCCTAATTAAGATGTAACTCATGTTTTGTACACTGGTTTGAGGATATATAATGCTATGTAAGTGATCAGTTTATTAAACATTTTTTCTGGTTTTTTTTATAGAAATGTGAATAGGTAACTGGGTAAACCAAGGGGCTGAAGCAGCCCCTGCTTCTGGTGCTGTGGCTGCTTCAGCCTGACTGACTGGAGGGCAGGGGTAGTAGAGGCTGCTCTGTCCCATCGAGATGGAATCCACACCCACCCTCTTTTAATCAATTAACTAGGTCACTTAACATTTAACTGGTTAACTAATTAAATGGGATTTTACATCCCTAATTTTTGACCAGATATAGTTTCTTAGATTTCATATTCACTTATGTATGTATGTATGTATTTTAAAGTGAGAATTTTCCTGGGGGTGGGGGAAGTCTCCATGAATTTCAGTTTCCACTCAATTAGTCTTTTCCAAGTTCTTTTATTGTGTTGGTGTTCTTTCATGCCTTCTCCAGAGCCAATCATAGTCATTCCTGAATGAACCAAGGGCTTCCTGTGGATGTGCACAAAAAGTAACATATTAACTAATTATGAAATTGTATATTTCTGTAGCCTGATGAGTATGATATGATTGTTCGAGAACTTGGGTTTGAGATGAAGGCACAACCCTCTGACAGGTTGAAAACTGAGGAAGAATTGGCAAAAGAGGAGCAAGAAAGACTTCAGAAATTAGAGGTACGTGAGTGTTTTAAATTGTGGTGTAGACCTCCCATTGGTAGTGAACTTTTACAGTTTTTTGTCATTGCTTTAACCTCAGTTTGAAAGCAGTTGTACTAAAAGATGCAGGTGACAATTCTGAAAATAAGCCCCTGTCATAGTCTAATGGAACTATTTGCATCACTACACAGATAACATGATTTACCCATTTTTCATGGATTTTTAATTTGACTATTTAAAAAGAATGGGCTGAATACTTGGCACATGAAATGACATGGCAAGAAAACTAATATTTTTTTTCAGTTAAATACAAGTTGCACCAAGGTTGTCTTTCTGTATCATTCAGACCTAATATGTGCTTAAAACTTTTAGATGAACCTGCGTTGTGTACAGGAGCTGAATCAACATCTGTGCAAATCCTGCACCGCTTCCCTTCTGTAGCTGCAAAGGGTCCCCTGGCAATTGTGCTGATGCGAGTTTGCTCTGTGGGGGGATAGGATTTACCTGGGAAGGTTTGCATGTTCCCGAGGAGCTCAGTGCGCCCTGGGCATCAGTGCACAAAGAGTGGGTCTTGGTAGGGCCCAAGCCTACTGTTAAATTGATCTTCTTCAAATAAAAACTTTAAGCTATGACTGCAAGGCTACTTCAATATTAAGTCTTCTATAGTGACCACAGTGCTGCTCAGTTATCACTAATCAGAGTGGAGGAAAAGATTCTTTTCCTCTTATTTCATGCAGTGCATCTCTGGCTCCAAATCCAAATAATTGCTGGTTGGAGGAGGGGGAGCGGGAAATGCTCCACAATAAGTAATGGCTCAGTTACAGTTGGATGAGTCAGTTGACAAGTTTTCGTAGTTAAAATTCCTTTCAAAGCCTTTTAAGTTTGTTCAAACCTATTTTAAATATAGGAAATATGCATGCATGCATGCTGCACAACCATAAAGTTCTAAAGAAGCTACTGCTTTGTGAAAATAATATAATTACCAAAATATATATTTAAGAGTATAAATAAATATTTCATTGCCAAAGATACACAAGGCTTTTGGTAAATATATTTCAAACCCTTCAAAATATGGGTTAGACTATATACAGTCAGACTCATTTACCAGTCCCACTCACCAAAACAAGGCAACTTGAAGTTCAAGCTAATATGTTATTGTATCTTTGCGTTTTATTGTTCCTTCCCTCTGTTAAATGAATAATGCTAGTTAAAATTTTGTTTTCTCTTTGGTTTTCTTTTCTTAATTACTTTGAAAATTGGAGAAAAAATAGATAATCTAGGTCATATGAACTATATTGTCTTTCCCCTGATTTTATTTTAAAACTCAGGCCGATAGACTACATCGAATGCATGGAAAAGATGAACATGAGAACAAAAAGAAACCCAAGCATATGTCAGCTGATGATTTAGCAGATGGCTTCATCCTGGATAAAGATGACAGACGTTTACTTTCTTATAAAGTAAGGATTTGATTGTTTTATAATGACTTTCAACATTGTTGTAATGAAGAGAAAATCATTTCCAATGAAACAGAACTCTTTTCTGTCGATTTTATTATTTTTTATCTGGGTGTACTGCACTTTCCACCTGAACTTTATTCCTTGTACACAAGAGATTGTTTCAGATTCTCTCCTGTATTAGGGCTGGACTGATCATGCAGGCAGCGTAAAGCAACCTACATCTAGCATAGAGGACCCACCCTAGTGTACGGAGATCAACTTATGGTGTAATTGTAGCTCCAATATCATCCACATAAGGCAGGTGTGGGCAAAAGGGCCTCTGCAGGTCAGATGTGGTCCACTAAGTAAGTTGATCTGGCCCGCAAAGGCCCTGCCACTCCCTCTGCCCCCAGAACAGTAAGTGCCTGGGGATGGGGGAAGCGCACAAAGTCTCCTCCCACCCTGCAAGGGGTGTGGTGCTTCTAAGTGCCTCATGCTTCTTTCAGGGGATGGTGGGAGGACACCAGTCTTGCCAATCATTGTGGGTAGGGCAGCGTGTGAAGTCTCCTCCCGTCCTGCAAAGGGCTCGGGGAACTTAGCTGGTGGTTGACTCTAAGCGTGATGCTTCCTTCATGTGCTCTCCCTCCCCAGGCCCTGATTGACCTGTGGGCACGGGAGGGAGTGTGTAACTTCTCCTCCCACTACCAGGGCACAAGTGTCTAGAGGGAACTGCCAGCTGTTCAGAACATCTGTCGGTACTCTCTGGGGATGGGCAGAGAGATTGCATGCTCTCCCACCCTCAGACGAATCAGGGCCTTTGGGTGGGGAAGCACAGAGGTGTCCTGGCCCCGCCCCTTCTGCCTGAGTCCCTGCCCCTTCAGGGACAGCCCGGGGCCAATTCAAAATTTTCTAAAGTGAGCCCCCGGTCAAACATTATTGCCCACCTCTGGCATAAGGGATATAGCCATGATTTCTCCACACTCAGAAGGAGCTGACTAGTATGCAACTATTCCACACTAGAGGAGAATAAAAAGTGATTTAAAGCATACTTTATTAAATACCTCCTCTGTCGACCTATGCTTTGTGCCTCTCAACTGCAACAGATCAGAGTTCTCATGAAATTACCTTCCTCTTTCAGATAGAGGAATCACTGGCATTTTGAGTGCATTGGCTTCACTCAGTGATTAGGCTCTCTGATCAGTGACCCTGTAAAAACAGTCTAGCAGGCTTTGATGTTTGCCTTCCCTTTTTGTAATGTCAAATGTACTTGGTTAACAAGAGAAATGATGGCTCTGTTGCTGCAAATTGTATGTGGCATCTATCAGACCCCCTCCTATAATCACCAGTAATAAAAATCTTGTAACGAGGCATGGTGTGTGAGGCAGACTATAGATAGAGTCTTTTTCTAGGTCTGTATTAGTTCTAACAGAAATAAAAGGGAGTAAAACTGTATTCTGGGACCACTTTTCCTTGTCTTATATTCTTTGTAAGTGCATTGAGAACAGTTGAGTTACAAAATGTGCAAGTAAGTGTAGAACTTGTTCCTCAGCAGCTGTTATCCAGTTCAGGTTGTTGGGGCTTCTGACATCTTGGGATCAAGCCCATACTGAGGGGAAATCTTCCTTGTTCTATTCATAAAAAAGTCCCATAGAAGGCACTTTTTAAATACAGGTGAAATCTTCCATTTGCGGTGTAACTCTGGCTACAGACACTGCTTCTCTGGCTGCCCATCTTTCAATTTTTACATCCCCAGCACCGGTTTTCCTGTATGTCACCTTAGTGACTTTGCTCAGCTACTCCCAATTCGCTCATCTTTCTTCCTTGGTTTCTACTTCTCCATCTTCCCTTTTCAACTGATACCCAGTCTATGTACTGTCAGAGCCAAATTTTAATTTGCAAACTACTGGTCCACCTAATATACCGCTGGATTTTAAATAATATTCAATTTTTATCAAACTCGGAGATAAGAGGATCTGATGTGTTTCTAGTAGGGTTGTTAAAAAGTGGGTAATTGTATAACCATTGAAAACCTCAGTGGTTATATGCACCTGCAGTGCAGGGCAGTAGCTGGCTCCCCAGGATCCAGGGCATGCTGGGAGCCAGCTGTTAAGCTGGCTCTCGGCACACATTGGCTCCCAGTTGCAGCCCTGCTCCCAGGAAATTGACTGCTGTCCCCATGCTGCTGCCTCTGAATCAGCTGCTCCCAGCTACAACTCTGCTCCTGAGGAGCTGACTGCTGCCCCAGGATGCTGTCTGGAATACAAAGCCAGCAGCATGGGACAGCAGCTGGCTCCCCAGGAATGGGTAAGAGCCTGTGTCTAACTGTTAACAGTAACCAATATGCCCAGGCTTATCAGGTACCATTTAAATGGTTATACTTTTACATCCCTAGTTTCTAGTAATACAAGTAAAGGCGTTATTTTAACTTATAATTTAAAACCCAACAGTATTCTTGTAAGCTAGTTTAAGTCTTTTTCTCTATTAATAGGATGGAAAAATAAATGTTGGAAATGAAGAGAAAGAAGGTGGAAATGAAGAAGAGAGTGAAAGTGAAGAAGAAAGTGAGGGAGAACCTACTAGGGAAGATGGGGAAGAAGCAATTGTTGAGGAAGATGATGCTACAGATAGTCCCTCTGATCTTGAATCTGACATGGGGAGCGAGGAAGAGGTAACTGCAGATGAAGACCAGAAAAAGAAACACAAAGGAAACGAAAATAAATTGCAAAGTGAGAAAGAACAAAATGCTAAGATAGAAGCTGCCAAATCTGAGCTTCCATACACATTTACTGGTAAGATTCCTACTGATTGACTAGGTAGAGGGGTTGTTTATTTTCTGGAAATAAGGATCTATGTCTGAGGCTCCACTTCATGTAGTAACTCCTCACTTAACATAGTGCCAGTTAATGTTTTGTTACATTGCTTTATCTATTAAAGCACACGTTCATTGTTGCTCAGTGCTCCTGTCATGGGGTGGTTTTGCCCTGCCCCTTCATAGGCAGGGTTTTGCACCCTTCAGGCCCCTCGCTAAGTGTTGCAGCCTGTGAGTGTCTCAGTCCTTATGAGCAAGGTCCTCTCACTATGTCCTTGTGGCCACAGTTAGTACCACATCCCTTCTCTTAGGGTTAGTGAGACCCATTCCATTCCCTTCCCTCCGGGCAGTGGGGCCAAGTGGCCTGAATCAGTCATCATGCTCTTCTCTTAGAACAGTGAGGCCTAATGGCCCGAGCCAGCAGCAGTGCCCCCTGTGTTCCGGGCAGTAAGGCCTAGCTGCTAGAGTCAATAGTCAATCACTCCCTATTCTAGGTCAGTCAGGCCTAAAAGCCAGAGTCCATATCAATAGCTCCCTCTTCCAGGAAAGTAAAGCCTTATTGGCCAGAGTCAGTCACAGCTGGAGCAACCTCTTGGGGACTAATGAGCTAATGGTGGGACACACCTATCAATGACAGGGCCCTGGGCTGGGACCCGGGGGAGAGGGAAGGGCCCTGTCGTGGCAAATCCGCCCGCAGCACGCTAGGCTTTTGAGGTTTTTGATCTCCCTGCCCTAGGCTGCTTCCTACCAGCATCCCTAACGTCAACTTCTCCAGTCACATCTTAGCCATTCTCAGCTGATTGGCCTCCACAGTTCGGTTGTCCCGTAGCTCCTCCTGCGGAGTTCTGGCATCAGCTCCTTCCTCCGCAGCACTCAGCCCTGACTGAGCTGCTTCAATGGCCTTTCTACTAAGGATATAAAAGACTAGTCGACTAACTGATAAGCATTTGCTTATTGGTAGGGCTCAACAAATAATGCAGTCTACTCGCCTGTGGCGAGTAGATGGCAACCCGGAAGAGCCAAGTTCGGGCGCTCTGCGCATGTTGCGGTTCGGCAAGCCCTGCTTATCTGCTAGTATTTTGACTAGTCGATATGCCCCCCCCCCCTTTGCTGCCTCAAAGGGCGGAGGAAGGGGTACTTCAGAGTGGCAGCACGTGGGGCTTTCTCTGCTAGGTAGCCCACGTTCACTCTTTCATGCCCAAGGCGGGGTTGGTACACCCTGTCATAGCTTCCTTATAACATCGTATGGCTGCCTGCTCTGTCCACTACTTGCAGGATTTTCTGGAAAAGCAGCCTATCCTTGTGGGGGTTTGGAATCAGGGTGGGCTGGCAGCCCCTCATCAGCTCTCATAAGTTCCCTATGCAGCTGCTCCTCCTCCTACTGCCGTGCTGCTCCTGCCCTCTGTCTTGAAGCTGTTCCCGAAAGCCTCCTGCTTGCAATGCTGAGAGAGCGGGAAGAGGGATGTTGTTGTTCCCCCCTCTTCCCTAGTTGAGCCCCCTCCCTCCAACTCTGTACCCCCTCTCCACAAAGCAGGATATCACAGCTACAAAGTCCTGTGTCTGGGCTTCCTGGTCTACTTACAAGGGCAGTGTACTTGAAGGGAAGTCGGCATACTTAAAGGGGCAATGCATGTCTCTATTTGCCTCCCTCCCTCTTCCCCCCC